CGAAGAGAAGGCTCTGAGTATGAAGCTCAGTGGTAGAGCTCTTGCTTGGCAAATGAAGCCCTGGGCTCAATCCCAGAAGAAGAAAAAATAGAGTAAAGCTCAAGTACACCCAAGCTCCCTCATCTGGGTCTTATTTGCTTAAATGGGCTTCTCAAATTTCCAAAGCACATTATTTGTACAGTCCAGGAAGTGATAATTAAAAAATTAATTTCAAAAGGTGATAATGATCTTACAAACTACACATAGAAACATGTCCATCAACTGCACAGTTTCCAAGCTACAAAAATAATTTGATGCCATTTATGGAGCACTACAGTGTACATCTCTGTTAGGTGGTTTACAGATACGGTCTCATATAATCCTCACAATCACTATTCATGTCATTTTATAGATGAGGATATGATGGCCCAGACAGATGAAGTCATCTGCCCAGTTCCTTAATGTGGTGACCTAAGACTTTAAAGCGCCTTCTTTTTATATTATACCAAGAGCACAGAACTCATAATAAAAGGAAGAGTGGTATGCATTTCCATGTGAAAGGAAGGAAAAGACTCAGTTCCTATCTGGCAAATAGTTTTCTTTTTTGTAAGAACTATATTTATATCACTGAACTTCATTTTCTCAAAAGGAAGAATTAGATAACAATGGCGAAAATGGAACACAATGAGAGGGGTGGGGGAGGGTGCATCTCTCAATAATAAACACTTTCTGAAGCCTCGCCCAGGGAGTGGCTAATTCTGTCAAGAAGAGCAGCATCTTGTGCCTTGCCTCCAGTAATTATCATCAGATTCCTAGTGTGGCATGGGCCGGTTTCCATGGCAACAGGAATGTTTCTATCCTGTGTCTTTGTGATAGGACAGTCTGAATTGCCACTCACATGGAGACAAGGATCAATAGGATAGCAGGCTCTTGTGCCTGAGACCCAGGGGCTTTGAAGGCAGGGAGGCCATTCTAAGGAAATGCCTATTTTTACTCATCCTCTTTTAAATCACTTTAACAAGCTTCCTTTTACTTCCCCGTACAGTCCTTGTTCTATGTGTATTTTTGCAGACATTTTCCTGTTTTTCCTTTCCAAGGTCCCTTTCTTGTCCTGAATCTTTACCAACACCTTTGTCCCAGACCCATCTCTTTTCTGACTTCAAAGGCGAGGAAACTGTGAGGCTATGGAGCTACCTTTAGATTCTGAAAACATACTTCTAATTGCTACTAGAGCCACAAGCCCTGCCTCAAGTTAATGTGGCCTTGATTAGTTCTCCTGCATGGGCTGGAAGTCCCTAGAGGGTAGAGGGAGAGAAGGTTCTTCCAAGATCCTGGCTCTTTCCCAACTACTCATGAAGTTTTGTGGGTCTATACTCTGCCAGGCTTCTGGACTTGCAGAACTATGGAATAATCAGAACCCAGAAGTGGGAAAAAGAATACTTTCCCCTAGGAAGACCATTTGGCTTCCTTTAGAACGGAAGAAGACACAAGGAAGCGTTCCCAACAGTGTATTTTGATAGGCCCCCCAAGAAGATAAGACCAGGCTGCCCCACTTAGCAATTCCCATTCCCCCCTGAAATCCTAAGGAACTCTAAAACCACCCAGAACCATGCTTCTCCAAGGGCTGAACTGCTAAATAGAAGACTGGCCCTGGAAAGTGGACATGCCACTCCCTAGCCTGGATGGTCCCGCAGTCTGAGTGACAGTGTCTTTAGCCATAGAACATAGGTCACACATAGTGGAGCAGAAGACTTCACCCATGTGTGAGGCACGTTGTTGGTGGCCAGTTGTTTAGAACAAAAGTAAATTCTCCTTTTTTACAAATAGTATTTAGAAAAAACAGCTAGATTTTGTGGTCAGTCCACAAAACCTTGTTTCAACAAATAATACATGCCAGTATGGTCTCTTCACACAGGCTTTATGAAAAACCTTCCCCAGTGCAGTTCAATGTGGATTTAAGGCTTAACAAATCTCATGGTAAACCAACCCCACCTAGCTCAGCCTGTTTTGGAACTAATGATTGCAAAAGAAAACCAAATGCCTGTTTTGTTGTTGTTTGTTTTTTTCTTCTTAGAGACTAATAGAATAAAGAACCAAAAACATCATAAAGATAGAATATTAGGAAACAAGGGACAAACAAAAACTAGTAGCATCTGTGGTTGGAAATAGCAGGGTTTGGGGAGAGAACTGAGGCCTTTGGAAAAGCAATCTTAGAGGTGAGTTTAATATGACAGGAGCAAAGCAGAACACTTGCCATCTTCCCTGGAATTCTTCCCTGCAGAACCCCATGAAAGGAAGAGAGCAGGCACAGGCAAGCTCTTTTTGTTGTTGTTGTTTTTTTTGGGTCCGGTCGTGGGGCCTGAACTCTGTCCCTCAGCTCTTCAGCTCAAGGCTAGCGCTCTACCACTTGAGCCACAATGCCACTTCCGGCTTTTTTCTTTTTGCTTACGTGGTGCTGAGGAATCGAACCCAGGGCCTCATGCATGCAAGGCCAAGTACTCTACCACTGAGCCACCTTCCTAGCCCCCCCCACAGGCAAGCTCTTACCCTAGGTTAGTACCTTTGTACAACCTTCACCACCACGATGCAGGCCTGTGGATACTATGCTAGGGGCTCCTTTCCCTTTAAATATCAATGCTGCTGTGAGCCAGCCTTCATCCTGCAAGTCCCATTCTCATCTAGTTCTGAGACTAAGGTGCAACCATAGAGTGACTAGGACCATGTCTGTGCTCACACTTTTACCTGCCAATGTGACACTGAAGAAAGAACAGGCCTATGTTGTTAAAAGAATTTTGAAGCCTGACCTTAAGAAGAGTTACAGTTCATAGTGAATTCCGAAAATCATAGTAAATTCAGAAAATCATCAGCTTTTTTCCTGACTTGGCCCCACAGATTTCTCACTGCTCCTTAAGCTGACTTTTCTGAGACCAAAAAAACAAAACAAAACAGGGAAGACACTGGACACAGAGCCTGCCCAGGCCAGAATGGCACATGGGAATTTCTGTTCTCTAGTGTATCTGAGTCAAGTTCTGTGACAACACAAATAACATCTTAAAAGCCATTCAAACTTGACTCGAATTGTACTGAGGCAATATACAAGGTGAGGTTACACTGCAATTTTTTGGGTCATTAAATGAAAACTTTTTTTTTTAAGTTTATTTAGTGGAGAAACAATCTCTCTCTCTCTCTGTTTCTCTCAATCTCTCTGTCTCTGTCTCTCTCTCTCTCTCACACACACACATACACAAAACCTCTGTAAAGGAATCTAACAATCAATTAACACAGTAAATTTGGATCATCTAGGTCTTCAAACATTTATCTATTATTTACTGCCAAGCTGGTGGTAAACACCAGTCTACTAAGATGGGACTCCAGATGGAGTGCAAATGTTTATGTTACCCAGAGTTTCAGATCACTGGTGCAGAAAGCCTAGCGCTAAATGTTATCTGATGGCACAGTTAGCTGTGGACACTAATTTACCCTGGCCTGGAAGCACTAATCACTTCATTAGTTTTGGAATCTGAATATGCAAGAATCCTTCAGTCCAAGCCTCAGGGAGGGATTCTGGTTTCAGCTAGGAGGGTCTCTAATTTAAGGCCTAACAACAAAGTGTGATTTGTGTTCCTTATAAAGAAATCAATGAAAATCTCCAGTTCAAATGAACAAATTAACTCACTGTATCTATAGTATGCATGGAATACAAGCAGTTGGACTATCTAGCTTCTAATCCAGGACAACTACCAGAGAAGGACAGCAAAAGAAATTAATGCACTTGGGGTTTTACAAACTACTCTTATCACCAATAACCAACCTCCTTATAAGCCACTCCCTTCTCACAGCCACTGTGATTTGAGGGGATTTTCTATTTGTCTAGTTTGAACTATAAGCTCTGATAGAAAACAGGCAGTAACATCTGCAGGCTCCAAGAACCAAGAACACAGATAGAACTCAGTACCTATAACAAGGGACTTCACTGCCTTTCATCAAAGCCAGGTCTCTAGTCTTGAACAAAAGGGCAAAGGGATAGAAAATGCTGACTCTATTTTTCTTCAGGTTCGGAGAGGCAATTGTGTCTGTGGGAAATAATAGGGGAGGGTACAACCTTGGCCCCTTTGCCTGTGGTCAGAGGTGTGTGGGTCAACCTGCACAAAAGCCCACTGCGGCTGTCAAGTTACAGGGTGGAGATCAAGTTAAAAATACAGCTTTCTGGAAGTCCTGCCAACCACTGGCATCATAGTTTCCTGGTGAGGTCAGTGCAGATGTGGGCTCTAACCCTGGGCAATGAGCTCTTGGCTCAGGCCCACCACTACCTAGCATGTGCTCTGGTAGAAAATACAGCATCAGTCTTCAAAAGCCCAGGTGAGACAAAACCTGTTGGGTCAGTCACTGACTGGTTTAAGCTTCTCTGATCTGGTGCATAAACAAAAGTCACAGTAAGAGAGGCCTAAGCAACTCTGGGAAACAGAACAGGGATAGTTTCACTGCAGACTGGAATTTTTTCCTACCCAAGAGGGTGAGGTAAATTCATCAGATGCTCAGTTCCCAAGGAGACAACAAAATACCAATCTCCACCACCTCCCCCAAAACGAAAAGGGAGAAGGAAAGAAAAAAAAAATCAGACACGACTGAATTCAATTCTTGCCACCTTGAGATGGCAGCTCAGATTTTCCAGCGAACCAGTAAGACACAAATTTAGAAATCATCCCATGATCTCATATAGGATATGGATTCATCTGTGTCCAAGCCCAGCCCTTCCACTTCTGTGCCTTGTTTAACAGGGACACTAGCCAGAAAAGCAGCAACCTCACAAATTACCAGAATGACGCTTCTTTATTACAGTTCAAAATTATCACCCAGACTCAGAATGTGACACTGGAGTTTTCCCCAAAAGCTCGATTCCCTTTTGCAAAAATTACTAATTGTAGAATTCAACAAGTTCACATTTGATTTCTGGGGAAAAAAAACCAAAAAACATTTTTCTATATCTGGGACAAGACAGTCAGCTACCATTTACCACTTACCAGCCTCTCTCCGGAGAGTACTTCCAGCAGCTTGATAAGCATCCGTCCATCTCGAAGGTCAGTGTACAGATCTGTGATCCGACAGGACACTCGGGCAAGGTGAGAGTTGACCCATTTCGTGAAGGTCTTCTTCTGCACGGCTTCACGCTCATCTGCAAGGAGAGAAGAACTCAATTTACCACCAACTTGGCACTGGCAGCACAGGAGTATACCAATAGGAGTGGAGTTGGCAAAAGTAAGTTCCAATGAAATCTCCACTTAGATCCTATTTTTTTGGTCAGTCATGGGGCTTAAACTCTGGGCTTGGGCACTGTCCCTCAGCTCTTCAGCTCAAGGTGAGCGCTCTACCACTTGAGCTACAGCACCATTTCCAGTTTTCTGGTGGTTTATTGGAGATAGGAGTCTCACAGTCTCTCCTGCCCGGGCTGGCCTTGAACCACAATCCTCAGATCTCAGCCTCCTGAGTAGCTAGGATTATAGTTGTGAGCCACCAGCGCCCAGCATCTACTTAGATCCTCTTAACTGCAGCTATCTCCATAGAAATACAGAAGTGGAATAAGTTGTTGAACAAAGGAGTCTCCAGATTTACTGTTGGCCAGAAGATCCTCACTCCATTTCCTTTCCTCCTCTCCCTGCAGATGATGACAGAGGCCTCTGCAGTGCTTCTGTCAAGTACAATAGTATCTGACTGGTAGAGCATCTGAGACATGTTTAGCTACTATTCCTTCAAAAGGTGAATATGAGAAAACACACAGTACACAAAAGGATGTGGGAAAGAAATGCTTAGAAGACTGCAATCTTCATGAACAAAAACTTGGGCGATACCTCCAAAAAAAGGTCACAGACTGGGAATGTGGCTAAGTGGTAGAATGCTTGACTAACATGCATGAAGCCCTGGGTTTGATTCCTCAGTACTATTAAAACAGAAAAAGCTGGAAATGGCACTGTGGCTCAAGTGGTACAGTGCGAGCCTTGAGCAAAAGAAGCTTAGGGACAGTGCCCAGGCCCTGAGTTCAAGCCCTAGGACTGGCAAAAATAAATAAAGTCACTCATGACCTTCATTTGCCATTGAGGTCACATGTGCTATGGATAACAGAGAAAACGACAGCAGACAAGGCAGAATACCAAGTAATCTGCAGTACAAAGTCATCAGGAGGTCAGGGTCTTGAACCAGGGCTTCAGTGCCCTCTTCTACCAACTAAGTGGACTAAATAGTCATCTCTAAACTTCATACATTCACTGAAAAGGCAGCTGCTGATTTATGCTCAAAAGTATGGTAGTTGTAACTTGAGCCATCTAATTAGCATTAAGTTTTTCAAACCTCAGGGATGCCTAGGTGATATCCAATTTGAACCATAAACTCTACAAACATTCAGGGCAGAACTAGCCTTCCATATCCACGTAGTCTTGCCTCTGCAGAATGTTCTAACGTCAGGTAGATACCTTCAACAGACATCCAGGATGCCCTGGAACACTCACCAATACTCCTTGACACTGTTATCTACAGAGCTACCCTCTGCCAGTTAGGTATCATACTTTTTTTTTTTTTTTTTTTGTCGGTTGTGGGCTTGAACTCTGGGCCCTGGGTGCTGTCCCTCAGCTCTTCAGCTCAAGGCAAGCGCTCTACCACTTGAGCTACAGCACCACTTCCGATTTTCTAGTGGTTTATTTGAGATAGGAGTCTCACAGTCTTTCCTGCCCGGGCTGGCTTTGAACCGTGATCCTCAGATCTCAGCCTCCTAGTAGTAGCTAGGATTAAAGGCATGAGCCACCAGCACCCAGCATCTACTTAGATCCTCTTAACTGCAGCTATCTCCATAGAAATATGGAAGTGGTATCGTACTTGGTATTGTACTTCTAATCCCACAAGAACCCAAGCCCTACTCCTAGTACAAATCAGAAAGATGCATGACTTCATGACTTCACAAAAGGAGCAGAGAGCCCAACAATTTCTTACGATTTCAAAACCACTGAGTGGCATGTAAATAGCTGATCCTGTGAATGGGGCATGTGCCAGTGGCCTAAGGGTACTACTGCTGGCCAGAGAGAGAGCCCAGTGTCCTAGAAAGATCTGCCGGAGGACTTTGCTGAGGTCACCACCAACCCCACCACAAGGAGTGAGGCAGAGGACATTCTGAGACTTCACCACTGCTGCCAACCGGCAAGTGAGCCAGTGAGGACCAGCGCAGACACCTGGTCACCTGCAGCTCCCTGAAGTCCAGCCTCTCCTTCCCTAAATAAATGGTCTATCCAGATGGAATGGTCGTGGGGGGACAAAGGCCAACCAGAAACAAAGGATCACAAGGGCAGATTAGGAAAGGAGAAAAAGACAGCAAGAGGTACACTGTACTTGGAAAAGACCACATGTATTATTAATCACACAATCATGGTGATGAATGGTAACTTTACTACTCTGTCGTGTGGGGAGCTGCACTTTCTGGCCTAAGGTTAGCTATTTATGAAAGAGCAAGGCTGGAGAATACAGACACATTAAGCTTCTGCTGGGGACATTTCACAGATGGTCTCTACCCAGGAGGCAAGTAACTCCTGATTCAGATGGTATTTAGAGCCAACTAATTGGAAAAAAATTTAATATCCTTTATGTACTATACTGGGCTGGAAAACATTTAATAAAGTCCTTGATGGGTATCTTAGGCTCTTAATGAAAGGTTTGAGACTCAAAGTTACTACCACACCCAGCCTATCAAGTGAGCAAGATCAAAAGGAAAGTATGCTTGGATTGAAGCATTTCAGGGAGCGAGGTGGGGGGGCGCAAGGGGGGATGAGCGAAATAGATTCCTTTCCTTTGGGTGAATCTGCCATTATAAAGAAACACTGGCGGCTTCTTTCAAGCTGCCATAGCAGGTTTTTTGCTTTTTTGTTTTTTTGTTTAATGAGAAAATTCTGAGGATTTGCTTCAAACCTGCTCTAAAGAGTTATAGTTCAACTTCAACCCTCCTCCCCACAAAAAAGCAAACTTAAGGGTAGAGGGTGAGGTGGAGAGGCGTGGCAGGGCTGGAAGGACTGAGCTGACACAAAACAGACTCGAATCTGTGTAAGGAAGGCTCTCTGAGGCTGCTGTGTGCGCCACCGGCTTCAAAAGAGTAGAATGCTAGAAAAATCACACCGGCTCTGAAGCTGCTCTGGCTAGAAACGTTAAGAAGAAGTTAAAAGGAAGATTGATTGTGCCCAGGGACCAGACCCGATTGATACCTTGATGACAGAGGAGGGGGTCATGAAACCAACTCAGCAGAGACAGCTACTTGGTGTCAACAAACACTTCTGAAGCTGGAAGGAGGGAGAGGGAGGGGGAAGTCCATCACCCAGTGGCGCAACTGATGATAAGGCTCCAGGCTTGGGAGACCCAATCCTTTGTTCTACTCTCCCTGGCAAGGCAAAATGACATCACCCCTACATTTCCCACCCAGGGAGGCTGGGAAAATAGGTCTGGAGAAACAGAAGGCCCTTGGCTTAAAGGATGGAAGACAATCCATAGGTTTCCAGACTCAAGCAGCTGTCACTGGCAGAAAGGTGGAAGAAGAGGATCAGCTTCCAGTTCTATGAACATAAGGCAATTGTGGTGGGGTAGAAAAGTAGTTCTTGCAAGATCCACAGTGATCTCGTTATTTAGACCAGAGATTTAAAACAAACAATAAAAGGGGGGGGGGGTTGCTCCCAGGGGACATTTAACAATGTCTAAAGAAATTTCTGAGATATATGCTTACGGCATCTCGAGGACACAAACCAGGGATGCTATGTCCCACAGTAAATAGGACAGCCCCCTACAACAAATCATTATCCAACCCGGACAATTCTGGGGCCGAGAACCCTTACTGAAAATCATAGGCTTATAGAGTTGGGAGCTGGCATTAGTAGCTGGTTAGACTACAAGCCCTGGAGAAGGAAACTCAAGTTAGGAGGTCATTGTTCATCATCGGCTTAGACGGCATCAAAGAAAGGCTTTTTGGCTTTATGGTTTGCATGTTGGCTCGAGGGCACTAAAACTCCCTGCCTTCAGACTTATTCACCCTACAAAAAGGCATGGTGCCAAGCAGAGGAGCAGCAGAGATCCTGGAATGCTGGGGGCTCTGTCTGGGTCAGTATGATGAGAAACATTCCTGCCTCTGTGCCATTTCCATTTCCCTCTTACTTTTCCAGGGACTTATATTGCTATTGTTAAGGGAATGCATGCCTGTATCTCCTCCCAGGAAGATGACACAGCCAAACCCTGCTTTGTAGGTTCCTAGTCAGTGCTGCTTCATACTTGACTCCAAGGAACTGGTCTCATGTTCTCTGTGGATATCTCTCGGTTGTGTTTGCCCCTACCCTTCTCAGATTATACACTATTATATATCACAAGGACTCACCAGAAGACCACCCAATATCAAATGGGAGGATATAAATCATACAGTCAGGTGTCCAGATTATTCTAACTGCTCATTGAACCCCACTGTGCAACAAAGAAGCTTTCTCATCAATTCAAACCATTTGAGAATCTACCTGGGATGGGGAAATCCTACCATTTCCTGACTGAGCAAGCCTTCAGAAGTCATCTCAATCAGCTTTCTTTCAAAAGCAAAAAAATTTTTCTTCAACATCTGGGTCAGTATATATCAAAAAAAAAAAAAAAAACAACCCACACACAAACAAACTACTGGGTGAAACTACAAGTGCAAGGGCAGGAAGTTGTATGAAAGATACACAGAAAGACAGTGATTCACTCTTTAAAAGAAAAAAATGGCATTCACTTAACCCTTGTTACGCCCAACACAGTGGGTCTGATACTTCACAATCCTCACAATTGCCCAACCAGGCTGGCTCCAGCCAAATTTCTCAATCACTAGACAGTAACTAATGTCTCTTGTACAACACTGGGAAAAAAAAAACATATTTTCATGATGCAAGATTTAGAATCCTCCTTCTCCCCATCCTTTTGTAAAGTGTATCCTGTATCACTAACACTCCAATTGTCAGGACTGGTACTGCCATCAAGACTAGATATGTCTCTGGTCTATTGAGGCTTATGGTACAGGGGGAAAAAAGGCCTCATTCTCACTCTTCAGATGTAAAGGCATTCGGAACCAAACACTGCTTACCACCCAGTCTTTGAAAAGAGAGTAGAATAAAAGCCAAGACCTTACTTAAGCACATT